ATTCTGTCAGTATTTACTCACCCTCATGTTGTTCAACCCCGTAAGACATTAATTCATCTTCCGAACACAAATTAAGATTATTTTGATGAAATCTGAGAGCTGGATCACTCCTGCATACTAGTCCATAGGCTTTGGTATGATTTTTTCTTTGGTATGATTGGCTTGATTTTTGTTAACGCAAATACACACAAATGTGGCATTTTCTTTTCATCCATTATCTGTTGGTCACCAAAAGTACACAAACACACATTTGAAAACAAAAACAACAACATTTGAAAGACCCACAACTGTCTAGTTTGTTAATGTCAAATAATGCTACAATCAAGATGAGGCTCTATAAAAGGAGTAATTAAAACAAAGAATAAGACAAACAATACGAAAACATTAAATACAGACTTACTATTTTAATTTTGCTGTTTGGCTTGATGTGGTCATCATTTATGTATCGTCCGAGATTTTCTGTAGCTTTACTGCCATCAACACTGTATGGTGAAATATTTTAAAAACACTGTATATAAACATACCATAATATGATGTAATTATACTTCATTAGAACATTCATTAATTTAATCTTACCAGTAAGATTGTCCTGAAAGGAGTAGAATATAAAAAAAACTGCATCTTCAGCTGAGTAGTCTTTGAGCAGGGTCTCTCCTTCAGATCCAGCCATGTGTCTTCCAACATACTCCAGTAGGAATTCTCCTGGCTCAATATGTTTTGTGGCGATTACTCCAAAACCTAATAAATTGGGTATAAATAAGTGTAAATTAAGTATGAGAAAAGATTCATAAAGTTGTTAAGGTTGTCTAAACTGTTTTAAATGGTAGCCCTGCTTGGAAAACAAATACGATATCTACATCTAAAAGTGCAAAACTACAAAACTCATATGTATCATGACACTGAATATTGATAATTTCCATTGTTAAACAGGCCCCCGGAGTCTAACTGGCAGTTACATACAAATAATATCAAGATCACTCGCACATCTACACAATGGAGTTTAGCATAAATACAGGCAGGAAAACAGATATAAATCCACCTTTAACTGATTCAATCATGTTTTTTTGTTTCTCTTGTTTTTTAACAGCCTGTTGTTTTTAGCTACACATTTTAAACCCAACCATTCGACATTATTTAGAGACCAAACTTAGCTTTTAATTAAGTTTTGCAAAGTCATACTGATGGCAGAATTGAATGCCGTAACTTACCTTTCTCTTCACACATTAATTTTTTCTCGAATGTGTCTTTATCTTTCCCCGAAGCAATGAAGTACAAGGCTTCCTTTTCAGGAGAAACTCTTTTGGGTCTCATTTTCCTGTGAAATATAAGAACATTTTATGCAGGATATAGTGCATATGCTAAGTAAAAAAAAAAAAAAAAAAAAAAATAGAAAATACTCTAAAAAAAACTCCTTAGAATTGTGTAGACAATAACTTATTGAAAAGATGACAATGTGGCTGATAATTTACTACATTTTTACTATACTTTTTATATCAAGTATTTTTATAAAATCATTTTAAAAGAAACTGAATATCAATAATACCAATCTGCATGCACATTTACATTGTAAGAGGATGCAAAAACATTGTATAATGTTAGCATTTACAAATCATCATAAAATGAAGTTAGAATGTACAACTTACCTTTTACTTCGGAAAGAAAAAAAGTGAGATGAGAAATGGCTCAGTGCGCTTAGGATCTTGGGATCTTGTAGGTAGATAAATCTTTAAACTATAATAGAAAGATAACTCTCCAATGTAGGAAACAATCTCGTTGAAGTCTTCTAAAGTTGTGCTCTTCCAAATGCCAAACATGAAGTGTGAATTAGGAACCTGGAATAGAGAGATATACGTTCTGCTATCGGAGCAGTGATTGGGCCATCGGATAAACCACAGTTAGCCAACATTACTATTGGTTCTGTTATGCAAATGTTTTGTGATTGAAATCAAATAGCTAGATTAACATAAGGGTAGAATCTGTTGGTAAATTAGTTTTAAATCCAGTTGTAAACATCAACTGGATCAGGAAAAAGTACTTTTCATAATTAGTATTATTTTGCATGCATTTTAAATAGAGCACAGAACACAAACCTATATCAATGGCAGATAAAACATGATAAAGTTAATAAAGAAAAGTTCAAAAATAATATCAAACTATGGGATGGTGCAGCATTTAAAGAAAGTAGGCGATATACAATTAATTTACTATTTAAAAGATTTTAAAAGACAGAAAAAAGTAATTTACCACAATGTAAAAAAAATAAATAAATAAAAAATCTGCTCATTTATAAATCAAATGATGTTATAGGGATGTAGCAGATTACCATGGGCATTCATATTTTTGTTGGTTTAACTAAACCTTTATACCACATCTGAAACGAAAGCTCATATTAATAGTTCCTCTTGTTGAATCTCTAAAAAAATACATGCAGAGTCCTCAGAGTGTTTTAAGTATAGGATGACTTGTTTAAGCATATGTATTTTTAGGTCTAAGGTAAACTTTCACAGCCTGGCCTTTGAAGCCGTTCTCCATAGAGATGCTAATGTCCTGCAGGTAGTGGGGGTTGCAGCTCAGTCCACTCAGGGACTGAAAACACAGTGAGAAAGCGTCCGATCACAGCCATTGGGATATGTTTCAATCAGCTCTGTAATTTAGCAGAGCTGTTTACAATACAGTCAAATCACACCACATGTATTTTTACACGTTTATATATCAATGTTTATACTTAAACACATTAACATTTTCTAAGACAGCCCTTGTTTTAGCAGGTGGGGAATAAATGAAATATGATGAGTATGTCATAAATCTTGCTTTAGTAAGCAGACACTTGAGAGCTTAATGTTACTTACTCAGACTGTTAGTATTAAACAGATATGTTAGCTCAAATACAAAAACTTATACAATTGATAATACTTGATAATACATATTTGGAATGTCTAAAACATGGATGTGGTAAATGGATCTAGGAACACAACAAAGCTAAAACCATTACTGAAACCATTTTGATTCTGTCAAAAATAATTTCTAACAATTGCACCCCTTACATGTCCAGTCAGTCCCTAATTCAATTTTTTAAGATGTTTTCAAAATATCCACAGTGTATTTTTTAATGTATGTTTGTTTTTATTTGGTGTGGCTCAGATGATGAGTCATAAAATAAATTATGAATGGAAGTGCATGTTTATGTTATTTTTGTGTTGTTGTTTTTTTGTCCCAAAATAAGAAACCGTAAGTGAGTGCTTGTAATAACTTCCAGTTAAAAAATATTCATAATTACCGGTTGCTTACATGCGCTCCTCACAAAGATTAATACATTTTTTAGGTTAAAGAGCTAAGGATGTTAAATCCACAAATATCTTAACTGTTATCCATAAGCCAACTGCAATTAAGACATTTGATCAAGAAGTTTATGACAAAGAGAACGATATATCTAGCACAGAGAAACAACCTGTAGGAGCGGGATTTGATCAGATGTGAGTGTGAGCGGCACACAAGTGGAACGTTTGCTTGGATTGGGTCGAGCGCAATGCAATCTTTGCTCAAATGCTCTGATTGGGATTAAAGATTTTTAAATAAAATGCCATAGAGAAACAGATACCATATTATTAAGATATCCACAGAACTAACCATTTAAAAAGTAAAATTCCTGTTTTTTACATAATGAACCTAAACACAAGTATTTTACTTTTAAAAATCCTATTTACTTTAACTTTTTTAACGTTTTACATCAACCACCAGTATGTAAACGTTGAATTAACTATAAAGTAAGGTGAAGTAAATGAGTGACAGCCCTTTTCACGTCCCTAAGTTGTGGCCAAAATGTTTTTCCAGCTTTTGCGAAGAGTAGAGCAGACAATATAATAAGTGCCGAAGCAAAAACAGTCGATACACTTGTTACAACTGAACAGGTTATTTACAAATAGTTGATGAATGAATCAGCTTAGATGAATAGCTTATTTACAACAACAATATGATTTTCTGTCTTAATTCTGCCTCTGATTGTTTCACTGCTAGTATATCTGCTAGTGAATTGAAGCATTTAATGTAGTCTATTAACACCTGGTCTAGCGAGATAAAAACATGCAGGAAGTTACTAAACTGCAATCACCTGTGATTATCATATGTAAAGGCAAATTTACCTAGCTTGAATGTAAATCGTTAACCACACATTCCAAAAGAATAGTTTTAAGCACTATGTCAATGAAAGGATATTGCTGTTTTTTGTAACTAAAACAACTCAATTCACACTAGTGAATAGCTGCTACTATATGGCTACTTCACATCTGGGTCATTCACCCTTCTCAGTGTTTATTTTGCGATAATAGACGGCTGGATGTAGCCTACATCCCTTACTCACTTTACTAACTAACCAACAAATTATTTAAATAACAAAAAAAAGTTAGTAAAACTTAATGTTAGTAAAAAAAATAAGTGGTTGGTTCATTTTCATTAATTTGGTTAAAAAACAATATTAATAAATGGAAACTTATAAAGTGCTACCCATTTTCAATGAGGTTGTGTTTTTTAAGAGTTACTATAAACTTATAAACGGTTGTGTTTTTATGAGCTCATATGAATAAGATAAATACACTTAATTAATGTATTATAATAGCATTGGTTACTTCAGATTACTGAATGCATTAAATTACCGACATTAAAGGAATAGTTCACTTTGAAATTAATTTTTGATTAATTTTTGATATGTTTTATCTTACCTCAAGGGCATCCGAGATGTAGGTGTCTTTGTTTCCACAGTATTTTCAATTTTGACATTTTTTGGTCAAACCGTTCTTGTCTATCAGTCCAACACTATCTCACGACCAATTCGTACGAATTTGACGCATGATTAAAAAGTGTCTAATTCGTACTAATTCGTACGACCTCACTCGTACTAATTCCTACGATTTGTCTAAACCCACGTGATGGTTAGGTTTAGGGGCGGGGTCAGGGGTAGGTCATTCGTACGAATTCATACGAATTGGCCAATTCGTAAAATATGTACGATTTAGCAAAATCGTATTAATTCGTACGTGTGAGGTCGTATGAATTGTTACGAATTAGCCACTTTTTAATCATTCGTCGAATTCGTACGACTTGGTCGTGAGATCGGGTTGATCAGTCATACACTGGAGGTGAAGGGGGTCCACCAAAGAGCAGCACAGAGAAGTCCAAACCGCAATGGAAGACGATTTCGGGATATCTAAATATGTTTAGTAAAAGGTAAAACTTCCGAAATCTCTGTGTAAATATTGAGTGACGTCACACGCAAGCGATCACTTCCGGCGTAACATTGAACTGATTCAGTTCGGTTCAGTTGGACATTGAACAACAGATTCAGATCACTGTGATTACAAGAGGTAAAACGATATAAATACTGTTGGTTTTCTCACACAAACCGCTCATTTCGTGTCTTAGGCCATCAATGTGTACTTACATTTACGAGTCATTAAATCATGTTTAATTTGGACTTCTCTGTGCATGCTTTTTGGTGGACCCCCTTAGCCTCCAGTGTATGACTGATAGACAACAACGGTTTGACTGAAAAATGTCAAAATTGAAAATACTGTGGAAACAAAGACACCTACATCTTGAATGCCCTTGAGGTAAGCATAAAACACATCAAAAATTAATTTCAAAGTGAACTATCCCTTTAAGAAAGTACTGGACCATGTGTTGTTTATTTGGAGTTCCATGCATATTTAATCTAGTTCACTGTTTACTCACCAATACATTGTATAACCCCAATTAATTTACTATTTAAAAGATTTTAAAAGACAGAAAAAAGTAATTTACCACAATGTAAAAAAATAAATAAATAAAAAAATCTGCTCATTTATAAATCAAATGATGTTATAGGGATGTAGCAGATTACCATGGGCATTCATATTTTTGTTGGTTTAACTAAACCTTTATACCACATCTGAAACGAAAGCTCATATTAATAGTACTTCTTGTTGAATCTCTCAAAAAATACATGCAGAGTCCTCAGAGTGTTTTAAGTATAGGATGACTTGTTTAAGCATATGTATTTTTAGGTCTAAGGTAAACTTTCACAGCCTGGCCTTTGAAGCCGTTCTCCATAGAGATGCTAATGTCCTGCAGGTAGTGGGGGTTGCAGCTCAGTCCACTCAGGGACTGAAAACACAGTGAGAAAGCGTCCGATCACAGCCATTGGGATATGTTTCAATCAGCTCTGTAATTTAGCAGAGCTGTTTACAATACAGTCAAATGTGCAGAGAAATGGCGTGAAAAAAAAAAAAAAAGAAACCGCCTTCAGTGTCTGATTAGGAGTGAGGGGGATCATGAGAGACATTGAGTGTAGAGAACTGTTTGTTAGAGATATTTGACAATTACGCATTTTATTAGAATTATAATGAGAGTATAAGACCCGTTTGTAAACCGTTTTTTGTCAAAATAAAAGCTGAATGCCGTTTCCATCAAAATAAAAGATAATGTTTTTATATCTCTTTCAAGTTACAGAAATTAGTTCTAAGCTAATAATGAAAGTTGCTTTTATTTTTCAGTGCATATGTTTTACAATATATGGCTATAACTGTCTTGTGATTAATATTATAACTATGATTAATTATGTATTATGTAATGTAGACAGACAATATATCCCAACTAAAAGAGTTTTGAGTTTTTCTTTGTTCAATTTGCACACTGAATATGGGTTGGAGCTCTTAAATTTGAACTCTCAAAGTGCACCAGATTGATGAATTTAACATTAAAGGGTTAGTTCACCCAAAAATGAAAATTCTGTCAGTATTTACTCGCCCTCATGTTGTTCAACCCCGTAAGACCTTCGTTCATCTTCGGAACACAAATTAAGATATTTAAGATATTAAGATCGCTCCTGCATACAGACCATAGGCTTCTTGAGGGAATGACTCTTGATGGCATAGAAAAGTCATTAAAGACATCGTTAAAATAGTCCAAGTGACTACAGGGGCTCAATCTTAACTTTATCAAACGACGAGAACACTTTTGTGTGCAAAAAAACAACAAAAATAACAACTTTATTTCAACTATTCGTTTATTTCTCCCTCTGCGCGAGTCAGGTTACTAGTTTAATAGCGTAAGCTTCTGTTATTATACGTCACACGCATCACACACATGACCAGCGT